GAAGGGAAGGGGGGGCGAGGGGAGGGGCGGGCGAGGGGAGGGGGCGGAGAGAGGAAGGGAGAAGACGGGGTAAGAAGAGGGGGAGGGATGAGGAAAGGGGGAACGGAGGAGAACGCAGGAGAGAAAGAGAGGGATGAGGAGGACGAGTAGATATCTATATAAAATTTCAATTTATATATAGTCCGCTATGGATATTAGAGGATAATTTTTAGGTCATAATGCTGTAGATCCTGAATGCAACTTTTTCCCCCGTAGACAATTAACTTCATCCGGCCACAGTCCTTTATTACGAGATACGGCTCTTATCATCGTATAGTATATATCTATATATATATATATGTATGTTACCACTCTTTAAGTCATTTAATGGATAGAACATATGAATATTGTGACTTGCGGCGTCTCCAACCGGGCACTTATTTTATCTCATGATCCGCCATGTAAGCAACCGTTAGCGCGATGTTCTCGAGCTGATTATACAACCTGTGGAACAGTTTATCTATGGTGTGTCATATCGCGCGTGATTCAACGCCAACTTAACTAGCTCGCATATTATCATGAACCGCGCTCTACTTATTTCAGTCTCATATCTCATGCGGGAGTTTTATATGGGGACGTTTGGTTTGGATCGTCAGCGGATGGTTTGACGTAGGATGTGGGTGTTTGAGGTAAGGTTCTGAATTTCACTGCCGGTGTGAGGGAGCGATGCATACACAATATTCTATGGTCTTCCTGCTCTACTAGTCGTTTCTATATCTCTTGCGTTCTTCTTTTGCTCTTCTCTCACTCTCTCATCTCTTCTATTCTGTCTTCTCTCCTGTGCTGATCGCTTGGCGCGCGCTGGCTTTCTCGGGTTCTCTCTGTCTCTCTGCTGCTCCCTGCTCTCTCTGCTTTCAGCGTGCCTGTCTTCTTCGCTCTCTCGTCTCTCGTTCCTCGTCTCTCGTCCTCTTCTTGCCTTCTCTCTGCTTACGTTCACAAATTACCTGCGGTTTCTTTTCCCTGGTCTGTCTTGTCTTTCACTCTCTTTGCTCGTCTCGTCTCCCGGGCCTTCTGCTCTCTCTCTTCGTCTCGTTTCCGGCTTATCTCTGCTTTTCTGCTCTTTCTGCTCGTTATTCTTCTTCTATTGCCCTTCGAACGATAATTTCTCGCTCGCGGGGGTCGTTTTGCTCGCTGGCGGGTCGCTCGCCCGTCCATCTCCCTTCATGCAATGTTCTGCGCACCGTGACTATTCGGCGAGCTGCCAACACTTAGCTTACGGGCTCATAAAAGACGCATTGTTGATGCACGCGCGCGGTGCGTGTATGTGTGTGTGTGCGATAAATTGCACAAGTGCGGCGGCTTGATCCGCGTGCCGTCTCTCTGTATCTGCTGCTCTGTATCTCTCTGCTCTGCTCCTCTTGTGTGTGTGTAATCTCTTTTTGTCTCTGCTTTCATTGTATTGCTGTTTATCTCTCTCTTTCTCTATCTCACTGCCTGCTAGAGAGGGGCTTTTCGCACCGCGTGACGATGAAGAAGAGAAGAAGGAAGAGAGAAGCGGCAGCAACACAATAGATCCGCCGTCCGGTTCTTCAGCACACCTACAGAGGAGAAACTGGCTGTCGGCCGTGGGCGGGCGCAGCACACAGCACAAGTAAACAGACGCGTATGGCTCCTCACATCTACGTATAGTAATATTATATAATAATATAGACGTACAACGCCGGACCGGCGTCGGTGTTTTGGGTGGCCGTGAGCGGGTGTGCCTGAGTGGGCGGGGGGCGCGGTGTGTTTTGTGATGTGATGAATGTGTGGTGTGTGTGGGTTTGCATATTAGGCTGCGCATAGATTCGCCGCTCGGCCAGGGTGGTGGCGCGTCTGCGGGGCGTATAGGTGCGTTTTCGCCACCGCTGTCATTCATTAGCTGTATGCTGCTCGCAACGCAACGCAGGTGGGGCGTGATGACGTACAATGCGGCAGCCGGGAGCGAAACGTACGACGCGTGGCGATAGGCTGGCTGATGCAGCGGTGGTCATTCAATCGCTTCAGGTATTGATATGGCATTGTTGTTTTGTGTCATAATTCGATTTTTGTTGTTTATGGTTTGATTTTATGCGCATATAACATTGCGATTTATGCTAACATATAAGCTTCGATTTATCAAGCTATTATATTCGATTATAAATATAACATTCGATTTATCAATATACTTGCGAATTTATCAGGATATTATTTGCTTTTTTATATCAGAAAGGAATCGAATGATTGATGCGTGATAGAATGATTCGATGCGTGAATACGAATAATTCGAATGCGTGAATCGAATGATGAACTGCGAATGATTTACGTGGCGTGAATGCTATGATTCGATTGGCCGGAGGTGGGAAAATCGAATGATGCAGCGTGAATGATTCGAGTGAATCATTCGATCAGCGCATGCGAATCATTCGATTCGGCATCGATCATTGATTGCACGCCGAATATGGCTGAATCGCATTCGATTCAAGCGCATCAATGATGCATCGAATCTTCGATTTAAGGCATCGAATGATGGCATCGAATGCATTGCGATTCAGGCATGCGAATAATTGTATGAATTATGAAAGCAGACATACCACACTAAGTTAGAAGGTAGAGGATTAGATATGCGGAGAGGAGCGCAAGGGGGGCGAAGAGAGGCGCGGGTGAGAGGGAAGAGGCGTGAGAGGAGTGGCGGGGCGGAGAGGGTTAGGGTTAGGGGAGGTTTGTTGGGAGGGGCTAGCGGCGCTGAAGGGGGGGAGGGGGCGAGCGGCGAGGTAGGGGAGGGGAGAAGCGGGGAGGTATGCGGGGAGGGATGACGGGTGCGGGGAGGTAGTGACGAGGGAGGGCGGTGGGAGGAGTGAGCGGGGAAGGCGGGAGGGTTGAAGAGTAGGGTAGGATTATCACGTAGTGGATATGTGTGTGCGTGCGTGCGTGTGTTGGTGCGCTGTGTGCGTGTTTGTGAGCGTGTGCTGTGTGGCGTGTGAGCGTGTGTGGCGCGGTGTGTGGGCGCAGTGTTGTGCAAAGTGTGTGTGCGCGGCTACCAATACCAACACGCAGGCACGGCATGCACACCCCAGACCACACCACACCACAGCACAAGCTACAAGCACAGCACACTCAGCAGCATGCACGCACGCCGCAGCGGACGGAACACAGCCGCACGCAACAGCCCACCGCAAAGAGAGAGAGAAGAGAGACGCACACGCACGCGACGCACGCACGAACACAGCTACACACACACACACGCGGCGGGCGCGACAGGGCGACACAATGCACAATCTACTGGCATCCCATATTGCGCGGAGAAACTATTAAGCTAACTTTGTTAATCCAACTATCGCGAAGCGATTCGCAACCAATTCGCTCTAAACTTATGCAGGACTTGTTCTGTCGACCGCGCATTGTCCACAGCGCCGACATTTGAGAGCTGCCGTACAAAGCGACAGGGCGCGCGCCGGGCGATGGACATGAAAATGAAGAAACTATAAATGAGAAGAAATTGCCTTTTCCGGCGTGGAGGCGTAGCAAGGTGAAGGAGGGTCGTGGATCAGAAGGACGCTTGTGAGCGTGAAGCGAGTGTAGAGTGGTCAGTGGCCGGCTTTGGCAAGATATTAGCATATGCACGATGAGCGGATGGTTCACGTGTATCTGGACAGAGCATGATGCGTAACGGCTAACCCTGAATATCTAACCCTACTCTATCGGCGCATCAAAGACTACGCTTCTTCATCGACGCTAATTTCTAGATAGCACAATGTAGATTTCTCACTAACGGCGAGGCGCAGTGTGCGCGCCTATGATAAGTCACGGGAGAGGCGGTGCATCTGTCGATGGTTCACTGAACAGTAATTAAGGGGTTTAAACAGTAAGCGTCCGCAAATTGTTCAGCTCTTTTTGGGAGTATTCGTCGCTCTAGAAAAATGTCTTTTTTCGCAGAAATTCGCCGAAAACAATTGGCGCCTTTTACGGCGGATTAAGGGGTGATATCATCGTGTAAGGCGTAGGAGGTGTATAGGACTGTGAAGGAGAGCAGTGCTGGACGGACAGATGTCACGTGGAGCGAGTGGTTGAGTGGTCACGTGGTCACGTTTGCCGGCTTTGGCTAGAAAT